CTCTTTATTCTTATCGCAACAAGACCAAAACTGTATCTAGAACATGAGATGTCACCCTTATCTTTCCAAGAGTCTTTTCTGTTCCAGTATTGCTTTCGTACCTAAAAAAAACAATAAAGACTGAATATAAGATCACATTTTAATTTTATGAAATGAAAATTTTAACATTTCTAAATGGCAATACTTTATAGTCTTCCAAATCTTCAAATACTTATGTCTCTTGATTTAAAGTACTCAACATTGAACACACATACACCTAAGAAATACATAAATTTTAGAAATACTATTTTCTCCATTAACTAGTAGTCAGTGCTCGTATTACCTGCATACTTCATTTATATTCACATGATCTCTCCAGCTCCTCTGCCTGTGAATTAGAGAAGTTATTTATACAATATCCAAGGATAGAAAAGCTACAACCAGATTGTATCTCAATTTTAAAAACAGTTGCACTTGGGAGTTTTATGTACAAGATTTGTTTGTGATTTGCTTTTTATTTTCACTTAACTTTCTGTTTTCAATCACAATTGTATTGCTATCGTTTCAGAAAAGTTGTGCCTTTTAGCAGTTACATGTTTTCTGCTACGCGAACATCTCTCTTTAACCATGCTTTCATTAGAGTAACTGCTTAAAACACTTCCTAAAAATCCTCAGTGTCTAGAATTTTTTAAAAAACATAAAATATAGACTCTTCCTTCAGCTTAATCTAGAAGGTGTTTCACATCTGATCACCTGCTGCTTCACGTGTGTCAGGGACGATGGAGGCCCTGGGCGGGCCGGGATTCTTCCTGCTGTGGGAGCTGGAGTGGTAGCCAGTTCCCTTCAGTCCTGGCTTGATGGTTCATAAATGAGTCCCTCTCTGGTAACCACCCTCAACTGACAGGAACTCTCCTCTTTGCAGGCAGGCTGTGTCCATTGGCACCGGGGTATAAATGCCCTACCCCCTAGCTTCAGGGGAGGACAGCTCGGCAGAGCCGCCTAGCCCAGAGTTCATAAACCCATCAGAGGCCTTAGTTGTAACTGCATCGTGGTTCAACTCCTCCCTCCACGCGGGTGCTCCCTGCTCTCACAGACACTCTTCAATAACTTCTTTTGTGCAGATCCCTGTTTCCCAGGAAACTCAGCGTAGGACTATGGCTCCGTATGGGGAGAGCGGGGCGGCCGCTGCTTGGTTGTGGCGGTTGACGTAGGCCGTCAGTCAAGTACGTTGCACTCGCTGACGGGGAAGAAGCCTCGCACAATCCGATGGGAGTGGCAGAAGCGGCTTGTTTTGCTTGGAGTATAACAAAGGGAGGCTTAGGAAAGGCTTCACAGAAGAGGTCACACTTGGGCTCAACTGTGAGGGAGGAGGAGGTATTTTCTAGACAAAGGAGGATGTGGGGCCTGGGCTCATAAAAGAACGCAGCTTGCTAAAGACGCAGCAGAGGGCGCAGGGTGGCAGCTGGAAGGTGGGGTCCACGAGAAGGGGCCGCAGAGGTGGCCGTGTCACGAAGCACGCTACTGATCTGGAAGGTGCTCTTCCTTCCTGACCCCCCGTCTAGCACACCTGGGACCCCTGCTTCACATGCAGGATGTGACTGAGTAGATGTACTTAAGAGACACCCTTCTTCTGCTTATTTGCTTGAAGACTTATTTCTCTGTCTATTTTCTTACATACTATTTTATTTATTAACCATTTCTTTTCACCTACTTTAGGAAAACCTCATGTTTATATAAAGAGTGCATCTTTTAGTCTGGCTTTACAATAATCTTCTATAAGAAGACACAAAGATCTTCCTTTATGGTGTGTAAAGTTCTACCGTTAGCAATTACTGGAGTTCCCGTTGTAAGGTGAAGTGAAGGTTGGGCTGCAGGCCAGGTGTCTCACACACGAGCCCTCCCTTCAAGCCTTGGATGAGGGGCTGTCCATTTGTTTCTAGGATGTCTCTAGTGATGGAAGCACTGACCTTTACCTGTTGTTGTTAATGCTGACATACCAGAGAGTAATACATTTGCAGAGCTGGAATTAACCATTGTTTTACAGATGAGAAAACCAAGGTCTAGAGAGAAGAAATCATTTACCTAAGGTCATCCAGGGGACGCTGACAAGTCCAGAGGGACAGTTCACATTCTTCATCTAACAACTCTGTCTCTCTCTCTGGCTACATAATGAAGGATTTTCTCCTTTCCATCTTCCACTGGTTCACCAGGACCCTCTGACATATCTTCTCTTAGAGGAAGGATAAAGACTCTTAAATACTCTAAGAGGAGGGCTCTGGGAGCTCCTCTAGTCCAGGCCTCTGATTTCATAGGTGAGAAAACCTGTGGACCTGGGGACTGATACAGCTGAGACCTGAGTCTCAGGGCATCCATCCTTTCCCCTTCATTACGGGGGGGGGGTGGGTTATTAGGTTTGCTTATTTATTTTTTTAATGGAGGTACCAGGGATTGAACCCAGGACCTCATGCATACTAGGCATGCGCTCTACCACTGAGCTATACCCTCTCCCCCGATTATGTGCCCTTTAAACAGCACTTCCATGGACTGTGAAGTCTTTCCTTAGAAACTGACTTTCCTTAGAAACTATGTTGCTGCTGGTTTTGAGTAAATGAGCTCAATTTTGCAGCCAGGCCTCAATGCAAACAAAAACATTTTCTGGTCAAGCATTTTCTGGTTTGTTCAACTCTGTTACAGGACTGGCTTTAAAAAAAATAAAAGTTAAAGCCCGCAGAAGAGCAAAACACAAACCCTGGGAAGCCAGTTTCCAGCCACATTAGCTCAGATCACCCGGGCAGAAAAGAAGCAGGGCCGTCATTGTCCAGACCATCAGCATCTCCAGACTCTCATCGTATGTTCCTCTGCTATTTTAGTTTCACCACTTCAAAATTGGGGGGGGGGATAGGTTAATAGTTTCCATGAGTTTAGACTGCGGCCAGAGGCGCACTAAGCAGTTTCAGAGCCTCCGACAACCGCAGCTCTGAGGAGAGGTTGGTGGCGTATTCACTGTCCTCTGGATTCCAAAGCTGGGGAGTCAGGCCAGCCTTGTGATGCCAGGGTGGGATGTAAACAATATTCATTTCTTCGTTCTTTTCTCACACACTCATCCTGGGTTTCTGTTTATTCCAGGTAGTGTACTGGGGGTAGCATGGGACAGAGAAATAGATTGTTAAGACATAGTCCCCACCCTTGAAGAAACTGCAGTATAGCAGAGGAGATGGACATACGTGCAGATAATTGTGAAACAGTGATCACTGTGAGTGCTGTAAACAGCACAAACTAAGTGCTCAGGAAGGAGAGAAAAAGAAGAGATTTAGTCCAACGGAAGGCACTGAGGAAGGCTTCCCTGGGGAGTTGCCTTCTGACCCATACCTTGAAAGGCATTAGCCAACGCACCAAAGTATGGAAGTTTCTCATAGGTCTGAAGAAGAGTGAGCAGTCTGAGACGTTAGGGGATCTGAGCCTAGAAAGGGAGGTTGCATGTCCGGTAAAGAACTAGCTCCGTGAAGGTTTTTCTAGCAGGAAACTTACTTCGTCACTTCTGGGTTTTGGGAAGGAAACTGGAAGTTTCTCTGAGGATGGGGAAGTGTTACAGGAGGAGACATGGAAACAAGGAAGCCAGTCAGAGGCCATGGCTACAGTTGAGTTATCAGCACACTAGTTACCTACCTACAGCGCTCCTTGCCTCTGCCCATTTAAATCTTCTCATAGGAAGAGGGAAATTACTCCTTGATTTCCACATCCCCTCTAGCTCTGTATCCGTCTAATCCCCATGCCAAGTTTAATCTAGCTTGTAAACTCAGTGAATCAGTCCAGACATCTCAGTTGGAATATAGCTTATTGCACGTGAAACATGGCTGTCTGCTAAGAGGGTACGGGATTCTAGGCAAGGATGGGAAGTGAACAGCTAATTTTATTGATCTTTCTGAGTCTTCTCTCAGTAAATGGTATCCCTTTTTAAGGGGGAGGGGATTTATTTTTAAAGCTGAGCATATTTTTAAAGCCAGATACATTGACTTTCTTAATTACCTTCTCAAGACTGGACCCCTCTAGGTTCAACATTTCCATCAAGGGTTCACAACACTAAGCTTGGTGACGGTGTTTGAACCAAGGCTTTAAATGATCACAAGCCTCGTTGATGATGCTGAGCTCTGACTGGGTTCTGCAACTAGCATGCTCTCTGCCAGTCTCAGTCATCAGACGAACCTCCCTCTAAAAATGTTAAGGTCCTTAGGGTTTTGATGACCACTCAAGTTCGGGAAGTAATAGTGGGATAAATTAGGACTTTGGGACTAGCATGTACACACTACTCTATATAAAACAGATAAACAACAAGGACCTACTGTATAGCAGAGGGAACTATATTCAATACCTTATAATCATCTATAATGGAAAAGAAATACTTTATATATATTGGAATCACTTTGCTGTGCACCTGAAACTAATACAACATTGTAAATCAACTGTACTTCAGTTTTTAAAAATTTAAAAAAAAAGAGAGAGAGAGAGAATAATGAAGTGTACTTCCAGTGGAGAACCCGGATTGTGTAGCTCAGGGGTCAATAAACTATAGCCATGGCCAAATCCATCCTGCTTCTGTAAGTTATGTCTCACTGGAACACAGTCATGCCATTTACTTACCCACTGTCTTTGGCTGCCTTCACACCTAACCAACAAAATTGAGTTGCTGTAACGAAGCCAGAAGTATTTACTACATGAGTCCTTACAGAAAAGCTTGCCATCACCCCTGCTATACTAGAAAGGAACAAGGGTAGAAGTCAGACAACATGAGTTCTAAATCCCAGCTAAGCCACGCAGTAGCTGGATAGCCTTAGGAAAGCCACTTGCTCCATCTAACTGTTTCCATCCCTCTGTAATAAAGATACACACTCTGCCTTCCTCCAAATGCTGTGATAAGCACAGGAGCCCGTGGGTTCTGCAGCAGTGCTTGTCAGGCTGTAAGTTACCACATAAATGGAGCTCAAGTCCCAGTCTAACACTGGCATTTTTCTTTTCCTCCCCAGAACACCCTGGAGCAGTGCAGCGTGTGCTCCAAGCCCATCATGGAGCGGATCCTCCGAGCCACTGGGAAGGCCTACCATCCTCACTGCTTTACCTGTGTGATGTGCCACCGCAGCCTGGATGGGATCCCGTTCACTGTGGACGCTGGCGGCCTCATCCACTGCATCGAGGACTTCCACAAGTAGGCAGCCACCTCTCCCTCCTGCAGCCCGCCTCGGGCTCTGTTCTTGCGCCTGGCGTCCGCGCTACCCATTCTTTCCTGGAACAATAGCGTCTCAGGATTTGGTGGGACCTTGAAAAGAGCTTATTTATCCCCCCCCTCCAATGCAGGAATTGCTAGCAGGTAATCCATATGGTCCTCCGGCCTGGCCTCTGCTTCAGGGCCTCCCTGGGGCTTGTCCATCACGTATTTGTGTGACCCTAATTGTAAGAAAGCTGACTCAGCCACAAAGTACGTGTATTGGAGAGAGGCAGGATCCTGGAGTAGCCCTCCCTGGCTGAAATGTGAACAAGAGGTGTGACAGTGGACAAACTGCCCAGTTTCTCTGAGCTCTTCAGTTTGATCATTAGACCAGGCCCGGTCTTGAAGCTTCCCATTTATGACAGCCTAGGGTTCTCTGTAGAGCTGACCTCTATGTCTGTGCCACTCTGCAGGTAAGGTTCTGGGGGAACTATTCAGTCTGTCTTGCTGATGCAACCCTCTTGCATATTTGGAGGCTGTTTTATGCCATTATCAACATAATTACAACCCCCTCCCCCAAGCTCCTCCCTCAGCCAGGTGTTCTCTTCCCCAGGATATGTTCTAATAAAATAAGTGAATACAGCGTGGTAGAATCTTTTGAGGATGATTAGAGAGTAGAACCTCAAGGTCAAGACCACTTACTGATGGGCCTGGAAAAACATGTCCCCACGTTCTCACTTCTTTCATGTGGAGATCCCTCTTTATTACAACTGGGATTTTCATGCAAGCTGTATAGTTTTGCATTTTACTTATTTGTATTTGGCCAGTTTGTTGGTCAGTGAATTGGTGGATCAGATTTGTTGCAGATTTCTAGGAACCATGTGAAAGCTATAGATATGATCTGTAAATGGCAGGCACAGAGGTTTCTGGCTTGTGTTTGCTGGACAGTGGCTTTAAGGACAGCCTGAGGCTCTCAAGGAGGTAAAGCTTGCATGGCTCACCAGTTTGGGTATCCGTTCTACAGCCTCCAGATGTGCAGCCTTGTGGGTTAATTTTCACCGCTCTGTTGATTGTCAACAACTGGGAAGTACTTGCCACAAGCAGTTTGGGGATCTGAGACTCCTATTTTAAAAAAGAATTTCCTGACCACTTTCCAAGTAGCAAAGAAAGTGAAAAACCTCACCAAAAAGATGTGAGGCTGAATGAATGAAAAAACCCCAGAGGCAGGAACTCTCAACCTGAATTAGACAAGGAAGGGCTCACTCTGAAAGGGCAGTCACAGCATAAATTGTACTTCACGTTATTGATATTTTTAGCTTGTAATTATACATGATAAAAAAAAAAACCTGCATCTATGTAAAGGAGGTGAAAAGACACCAATGGGGAGTGGTTTCTGTCACTGCTTCTCTCCTTCCTTAGACTTACCCTCATCCAAGGAAGACTGATAGATGGAATCAGAGCACAGATGTTTCTGTTGCTGGAAAAGACTGATATATTACACCCCTCAGTTAAAACAGGAAATCAGTTCTGACACATGCAAGTTTATATCTATGCCATTTACCTTTCATTTCTAGGAGTGGGGGGCATAATTAGAGACTTGTGCCTGGTGATGTGTGTGGGTCTGAACGCTCCAGGAAGGCAGACTTGAGCAACTATAAGGGAAAAAGTAATCTGAAACCCCCAACTCTTCCCCGCCACCACTAATTCAATGGCCAGTTAAAACACTATTTTTTTTTAAGTTGTCAGCATGATTGGCAGGTATGCAGGAGGAAATGCTTTTTTATCTTTTTCCCATTTCCCAAAGAAAAATAAGAGAGAAACTTTACAGAACTCTGTTTCAGAGCCTTAAAAGTAGTGGAATGCAAAGCGGTTGAAAGTCCAGCCCAGGGAGGGCATCGCCAAGCTAAGGAGACGGGCGTACAGGTGGAGGGATACAGCCGCCTTCTGCAGATTCTTGGCCATAGTGGGCCTCCCTTCTGTGAGCTTTGGGGAAATGTATTTGAGTTCAGTGCAACTGCATCTATGAAGAGCCCTCTGTGTGCCAATCCCTGTGCTACGTGCTAAAGGACAGAGACCCCAGGAGAGAAACTCCACATCTCCGTAGCGAGGGGCCCTGTCGGTGCAGAGCTTGCCAGGAGGAGGGGAGAGAGTGAGTGTAGACTTTGTGTGGTATCAGGCAGAAAAGGCTACACGTGCCGAGGCGGGCACAGGCGAGGGCTCGAGCTGTCAGAGCCAGAAGAGATTACTCGGCCCTGGGGCCAGAGTAGGCTTCTGGAGGCAGAGTGTTTTCAGTGGGAAATAGAGATTCCTGGCAGGAGGAATAACGCAGGCAAGAAAGAAGGGTACAGAGTGAAGAAAGACTTCTCTACATTCAAGGAAGATCTGCTTGGCTGTAACTAGAGCAGCCTGGGAATAGAAGCTACAGCGAGATGCAGGAGGCCCAGGAGAAGGGATTTATCTCGCCTGCTTAGAATCCTGTTCTTTAAGCCAGGGCTTCCCAAACTTTAGCGTGCTTCTAAGTCACCGAGGGATCTTGTTAAACTGCAGACCTTAGTTCAGTAAGTCTGGGGTGGGGACCCAAGATTCTGCATTTCTGACAAGCTCCCAGGTGGTCTTGGACTGTACTCAGAGTAACGAGCATCTGAAATGCTATTTTTAAAGCCTTGCTAATGGGCCATCCCCTCCATAACCACTTTCAGTCAGCGTTGGCCCAAATCCTCCATCCTATTAGGCAGAAACTCTTTCCCATATGTCATTTCAGATGACTGCTCAAACTAGTGCCCTGGCCGACTGCCTGTATCCCACCCTCACCCTCAGCACGCGCACGCGCACGCGCACGCGCACGCACACTCTCACGGTTACTTTCCTGTTTTACCTAAGTGGCCGTCTTTCAAGGACCCACTCAGTTACCATCTCCTCTAAGAAGCCTCCTGTGATCGCAGACTCTCCCTGTCCCCATGCTTGAATTTGTATCTCCTTTATGTTTTATAGTTTTGTAAATTTACTATAGATAGCACCCAGCACAGCCTGATTAGGAATAAAGAATACACATACACACAAACAGCTTTACAGTAACCACCTTAAATCATTTTTGCAATGTGATAGGATGCAATAGAACAAACGCAGAAATGCATAGAACTCCCTCACCCGTCTGACTGCCGGAGTCCTCATTTGTTTCTGTGTTCCCAGTGCCAGGACAGTGAGCTCCGAGAAGCAGATTTATTTAACTGACCCTTTCATTGTGTTGAGCCTTTATTCCACTCTCTGTGCTTTTCTTATCAGGGATGTTACGTGCATCCATTTATTTGTTTAATCAGCATTCATTTGTTGATTGCCAGAAATGTGCCAGGACACAAGATGATTAAGACCATTCCTCTCTAAGCTTTGGCTCCCAAAGCAGAAATGATAAAAGTATTTCTTCATAATACTGCTATCAGTAAAAAATAAGGTCAAGTGTATAAAGTGCTTAACGAGGCTCGGCACATAATAAGCACACAGTACATGGCCGCTATTTTAACCATGAGAAGTGTTTTTATCAAATTAATGTTATGATTATTGTCTGCTTAGTGAGCTGAGCCCTGAAATAGACCACCTGGGATTTTTAACAGTCCTCAAAATGCTGGCCAAGGAACACTGTAAGGACTGTGGAAGCCACGTTCTGTCTCTCCACTTTGCCTTTTCCCCTCACAGAAATGAGACCAATTGGTCAGAAGGAATCATTACTCAGCAAGAATACAATTTGCGCCTTTCCAAAGAGGAAGGACCTTGAGATTGAACATAAAGGCACAAGCAACGTCTTTTTACGAGAAATATGGCAAATACTTCATTTCATTAGATAGTGCCTGATTCTCTACTTTCTGCACCAGTCACAGTAGTTATTTCTAGAGACTCAGAAATAGAGCAAATCCTGTCCTTTGGAAGCTCACAGTTTTGAGGTCCCCAAAGATATGCAAATAATTAGGACTAAAATAGGCAAATTCAGTGAAAGCTATTTTATCCTAGAGGAATAAGTAATCCATCTTGGGGACATTGGGCAAGGCTCACAGACACAGTGATAGGCAAGACGTCCTCCTGACCTCACAGTTTACAGTCCCAGTGGGTCTGGGGAAAGGAAATTTTGCAGCTGATTCCAAAAGCCTGCTTATTTCACTACTGATGACCCAGATTCAAAACTAATCAGGTAGTCCAAAGCAATTTTTTTTACCACTGCGTATAAAAACTTCTTGCATAAAATACCAATTATAACAGCTCTGATTACTGCCGCAGTTGTACCATGATCCTTTTAATTTTTCTTTCATAGCAATCAATTGATCTGCTGCTTAATTCGTATTTATTTAGATTGCAGCCATACAGATGCCTTTTGGGTGCTGCCAGGAAAATTAATATGTACATATAGAGTATAATGTATGTAAAAATGCTTTGACAACCATAAAGTGCTCTGCAAAGTGTTAGATTACTATCATTATTTCTTTTTTAAGTCTCACTGTAAATAGATAAATTTTTAACATCATTAATCTTAAAACCATTACCATGAAAAAACTGTCTTCCTTTTCTTTTCATCTTTTCAGTGCTTATCCATGTCCATTTCAAATCTTGTCTTATTTCATACCTTCATAAATGCCACACCTCATTTCCAGAAGATACGGATGGATGTCTTTTTGTAGCCTGTTAAGCTGCTACTAGAAAAAAAAAAATGTTATGGCCATTGGTCATATTAAGGAATATTAAGAGATTAAGAAACATTAAAATTCCTCACCAACAGTTAACCTCAAGAACGTATGTGTGAGTGTGTGTGTTGTAGAGGGTGTTCACTCACACATACCTTCTGGAAGTGCTAAAATTCTTTAAAGGGCAAAGAACTGGACAGCTCTTTAACTTTTCTCTTTCAAATCAAAGTTTAACACAACCAAAATGTAAGAAGTGCAGACTTGGCCATAGTAGGTTTGGCATAACGGGGATTTGAACTCACCAAACTCTGCTGTTTTGAAAAGATATGCACTTGCGGTTTCTTGAGTTCATTTCCTAGAATGCAAGACACATTTCAAAGAAAGAGGCTTTAATCATTGGGAATGAGGCAAAGTTACCAACCTCAGAATATCTGGACAGGGCCTGGGGGGCACATACAGAGTCTAGGAGCAAAAGTCAGAAACAAGCAGGGGCCTCGAGGACCTGTGTTCTTCCCTCCGGCCGACCTGCCCAAGCCCCTGGTCTGTGTTTGCCATCTGTGCACAGGTGAATTCCACACCCCCTCACTCACTCCCCCACCTCACCAAACGTCATGAGATTTATGATCTGGAAGGACCTCAACAGTCTAAACCTCTTATTTCACAGCTGAGGAAGCAGGCGCAGGGAAGGCAAGTGATTTACTTGCTGGAGGACACCGAAGATGGCAGACCAGGCGGCCTGCCCCTTGGTGTACACCTTTTCTTTTCACCTCTGGGCCTCTCCTCTGTCGGTGTCTCTGCTCAGTGTCTAACCAGAGGTATCTTTTCATTTTTAGGAAATTTGCTCCCCGCTGTTCTGTGTGCAAGGAGCCCATCATGCCGGCCCCCGGCCAGGAGGAGACTGTCAGGATTGTGGCTCTGGATCGCGATTTCCACGTCCACTGCTACCGGTGTGAGGTCTGTGCTCAGCGCCCTCCAGCCTGCCGGGGCGTGGCAGGCATCAGAGGGACTCCTAGAGCCGGGTTTTCATAAATACAGCAGTTACTGCACCTGGGAGGGCCCCTTGGGTTTTAGATCTGATGCAGACATTCCATGCTAGGGACGTTGGTTAAGTCACTTCACCTCTCTCATTCTCAATTTCCCCACCTGTGAAAAGGACTCGGATTCTTATTAACTCCCCCAAATGCGGCTGTGCAGCTAAAACGCAAAGCTGTATGTTAAAGGACACGGTAAATCATAAAGAGCCAGAGATATGGTATCATCATGGTTCTTACTGTCATTATACAGAGACTCTGGCTCTGGTTTAGGACAGAGATGCCATTGTCACCCGCTGAGAAGAGTAAGAATTTATTCCTCTCAGAGGGGTTGGAACTTCATGTTCAAAGTCATGGAGATTCATTAATTTAGCAGGCACTGACCGAGCACTCACGGTAAGGGGTCAGGTGACTGCTGAGAGCTCTAAGAGGGTCAGGCACAAGGTGTCGTGGGAACACCTACCAGAGACCCGTAATCCAGCTCGAAGTGACAAGGAAGGCCTCTTGCCTGAGGGCCGTGTCGTCATTTATACAGCAAAAGGCAGCAAGTTTCTCCCCTAGAATCTAGGTAACCAAAGGCATCACATTCAGAAAGTGATTTTAAATCATTTTCCTATCCTAGTTTTATGACTTACCCAGAGCCCCTCTTTTGAAGCAGTTTTCTTGTTTTCCACCAGCTCTTCTCAGTATCGCAGGTATCAGCCCCCTCTTCTATCTGTGAGAGATGGTATGAACCTGCTTATTACCACCTCCTTATGAGACTGGCTCATCTAGTCCTGCTAGGAGACTTTCCCAAGACACAGGCTGGTGGCGCTGGCGGGGCTGGCGGGGCTGGCGGGACTGGCCGGGCTGGCCGTCTCCCCTGCCCTCCCAGACTGCAGTCACCCCGTTCCCTGCCTTAGCTGTGACTGACCAGCTGTTTTATGCAGTGTGCTTTGTTTTGCCCTCCAGCCCAAGTTACCTGCCTCTCTGACCTTAACGTGAGCAAAGAGAATAAAAAACTTCGGCTTTTACATGAGGTTTTTAGGACTACAGAGAAACAGTGATGTCCAGCCTTAAAACTGACCTGAATCATAAGTGTGAAAGAGCTAATAGACACCTTAGAGATCATTCTGCAGATCGGGAAACTGAGGCTTAAGGCATTCCAATATTCTTCCCACACTTGCTCTGGCTACATACATGCTTATTTCATGGTTTTGTTTTGTGTGTGAAGAGTTGCATGATACGTACCTTTTCTCCTCCCAAACTAAATGATAGCAGAGCAAAATAAGTTTGCTTTAAAAAGATAGTGCTTTTTTTCCCCTTTTTTTAACCCCAGAAACAACACTGTAGAATGGCAGGTACACTGAATTAAAAGTTTTTTGAAGATGCTCCATACTGTTCTACACAGTGGCTGCACCACCAGCAGTGTAGGAGCGTTCCCTTTTCCCACACCCTCTCCAGCATTTATTGTTTGTGGACTTTAATGATGGCCATTCGGACTGGTGTGAGGTGATACCTCATTGTAGTTTTGGTTTGCATTTCTCTAACAATAAGCGATGTTGAGCATCTTTTCATGGGGGGTGCTGGAAATGTTAGCTATCTTGATTGTGGTGGTGGTTTCATGGTGTATACATCTATCAAGATTCATCAAATTGTACATCTGAAATATGTGTAGTTTACTGTATAGAAATTATACCACAATAATGTTGTTTTAAAAAATTTTTAAAAACTTAAAAATACCATTTTAACTTGTCAAATAAACAATATGAAAAGAAAAAAACGGAAAAAATATTAAAGAGGGCAGGACACTGCCTAACACTGGACGAATCACTTCCCTCTCTGCTGCTCGCTTCCCTGCCCATAAAGCCAGGTGGTTTTGGATTCCCCCATTGTGGCTCCTTTTGTTTCTAAGATTCAAGGCATTTTGGTTCCAGTGGTTGACTCTGGGCTCTTTAGAGTGCCCAGGTGACTGTCGGCATTCATTCATTGAATTCTTAAATCCATGTCATTCATGAACTTTTTTCTTTTTATTGCAATGAAAAGATTTCATTTAGCTCCATCGCTCAGTGTCCCAAATGCGTCTAGAGCTGCAAAATATCTGCCTATTCGTTTGGGTAAAGTTGACCTTCCCAGGAACATAACTATTGCTGCTGGTGCTGCTGCTCTGAGCGACACCCTTTTTGAACTTAAACTTCATTATCTGTCAGATTCAGATAGGAACCTCCATGACCCCCTTCCTGTCATGGTAGGCAGCGCAAGTGAGGGACACAGGCCCTGTGGTCTTTTAAAAGAGTTTCTACGAAATAAGTTCATTGGTGTCTTTTTTTTAGATTCCACATATGAGCGATCTCATATGGTATTTTTCTTTCTCTTTCTGGCTTACTTCACTTAGAATGACATTCTCCAGGTCCATCCATGTTGCTGCAAATGGCACTATTCCACCCTTCTTTTATGGCTGAAAAATATTCCATTGTATAAATATACCACAACTTCTTTATCCAGTCATCTGTTGAGGGACATTTAGGCTGTTTCCATGTCTTGGCTATTGTAAATAGTGCTGCTGTGATCATTGGAAATTGACACACTATTGTAAACTGACTATACTTCAATTAAAAAAAAAAAGAATAAAAAAAGACTTTCTACTAATGGTAGCAAGGGCACACACCATGAGATGAAGCGCTATATTTTTCTTTTCCAAAGAAACTTCTGTTTCCTCCAGAGGTGAAGGCCAGCATTTAGCTGTCATGTAACACTTTCCAAAATGGATGCTCAGGGGTGCTGCCAACAGCAGTATAATTCCTTACCATTATGAAGCTGTTTGCATTTTTTTCAAAGGACACTCACACCCATTTTCCTCCTTTGTTCTCGCAATAGCTTCATAAGGTAGGAATTGCAGGAATTATTTCCAGAGTGGCTGTTGGCCCTCCTTGCCAGGACAGAGCTAGGGTGGTGCCCAGGGGCCCTGTCCCCCAGCCCCACCTTCATTCCTCTACACCACACTGTACCCTTTAGAAAGTATGACAGATCACTCCTCCCCACAAACCTTAGAGTTTCATCTTCTTTCTCAAGTTGGAGTGGGCATGCAGACCCACTGGTGGCCCTTCTGCTTAGCAGGAGTCCCTCTACAGTTTCTCTTTTACCCTGGAATTACCAAGAAATTCTGTCCCTCCATCTGTGTGTGTGTGTGTGTGTGTGTGTGTGTGTGTTATTATTTATTTTT